GAAATTTCACCGCGTTTGGGGACGGAAAACATCACGTTGTGTTCCCGATGGGTTGGAGAAGTAGATAGTTGGAGCGTAAAACAGGAACCAACTCGGGAGGACGATGGATGGAATACCGCCCGGAACGAGTGGTTTATTTGCGTTTAGGAAGTGTAGTTTTCGGAGGATTTTCCTAATGCGATAAGAAAGGTTGACAGCAAAATGGGAAGAAGATGGAGGAGTGGGGTAATCGAGTAAGATGCAGTTGGCGGCACTACTGGAAACTGTAAGAGATCTTTGAATGTTTGTACACATTCGGTTATAGACCTGCCGATTCCGAAGATATGTGAATTTCACTTCTGCATGGTTTTTCAGCGGTATCGAATCTCCGATAAACAACGCATGTATCGCTATCTATTTATTGAGACTAACAAGCATCCTTTTCATCTTTACAGTTCTCCAGAAAATCGTCTGAGGATATGTACACGTTATCTGTATTTCTTCCAGATAGCCTTTGTATGGTCACAGCCCCCTTCCTGAAACTTTCTATAATCGATAAACAAAAGAGGAAGTAATAAAATTCAGTTAAACCTAATGGAAAGCCGTTGATGAATCGAATAGAAAAAAAAATGAAGCGTGTACAGAATAAAGTCGAGTCACAATATTCAATAGTGAGTAAAATCCTGGTCAATAGAAAGGTTCCAACAGTTAGTTGGAATGCCATCCATGAAGTGATGATTAGAGAATGATCTCTGTGAGCGGACCAGGATGATTTGTTAACCAAACAAATAAGATCGAATTAGACTACATCAGTGGCGGTTTCACAAGAAGGGCAACACAACTGACCAGTAAAACCTCTACAACTTGTACCAAGCCCNACAATATGAAGAAGTTAGAAAAAAAAAGAAATTGAAAGGATCATTCGAGGAAATTTTACAGGAGTTATATGAAGCACAAATTGGAATAATTATCAGCAAACATCGATTACGATTTTGTGATCACCTACCTCCATGATATCCTTCACATAGGGAGTCCAACGTGACGCCTGATAACGAGGACCATCTTCTCTCTGACGCCGATTTGCGGGAAGATATGGCTGTGGCACCTTTCGTCGACCAATGCCCTGAGTAAATGAAAAGAAATAATGAAAACCGATGGAAAGCGAAAGAGATAAATGAGATATCCAGTTTGAAACGGAGTGGTCTGATGAGTGTCCAAATATACACATTTATAGAGCAATTAACAGAACACCTCGACGAGTAAATTCTGAATGTAATTTAGACGACAAGGGTTCCAACCGGCATTGCAATCACAATATGATACGGACTTATACAGCATTATGCACTTACGGGACCGGCAGCATCCTGGATGACCGGGACACCCAAATGGGCTAGGTTGCGAATGATGCATGCCTGAGCAGAAGGGATCTGGGCGTGTTGAATCAGTTTTGCCAAATTCTCCTCACTGATTCCTCCACGTTGTACGACATACAGATAGATTATGCGCAATTTATCGTACGCGGACACCGACTGATCAATGAGTATGGGGACCATTGTTCGCATGTGGTCTTTGATTCGTTCCCCGTCCGCATCAGTACCCATGGCCAAATCCTATGAAGTAAGTATTATTCATCGGACGTGAAATATCGGAAAATAAGGCATCCAAACAAAAAGAGAATTCAGTTCAAACCCCAAATGCGTATCTTGAACATCTAATTGGTTCAGAAAATGTAAGCTTCTAGAACTCATCTTGTTCACTATAATTACTATAATTTCAAGGGACAGCTGCTTTCCCTCTCCTCAGAGACTGAATGCAAAACCATACAGTGGTCAAATTCCTTATAATGAATAGCTCGTGTACTTTGATCACAGATTGCTTTACTAACCGGGGTCTGTCAACCTCCAGTGGCCCACACTGATTGGAACAGTATGTGACTATTTCCTGATGTCGCAACCACCTGAATTTCACCAGTTACTTTTACCCACCAGTTGCCAAGGCTTCTTGTGATGATGTGGACGCCATCTACCTCTATTTCGATCCTTGCTGGCTAGGATTTAGCACTTTTTCTCTACCAGGAGTACCGATTCGTGAGAGATGCAATGTGCCTGACGGGCTATAGGCTCGGATCCCCAAGCGGCGTTCGATGTAGGAAGCTACGCTCCGCTAATTTGACCCCGTGGTTCATCCGAACCACCACATCGCAAAACCCTTAGCTCACGCCCAAGTCCTATATTTACATTTGTATTTTTCACACGGCTGACGCCAGACTATGCCAAAAAATTATGGTACAATAATCTTTATGACCAAGAAAGGTGTTCCATGATTTGAATGAGGGTCGAATACTGCCAGGTTGCCCAGGCCAAAGCAGGTGAATTTTCTTGACGAATCCACAACCGGAGCCTTCGGTTAGCCAAAGCCTGACCCGCAAGGTAACGGGGCGGTGCATGAAAACCGCAGTCCATTGGAGGCCGGTGTCCAGTTCATCGGATCATAAGCTCTTTAGACGGAGTCAAACGTCCAAGGAGCCCAGTACAGCCCAGTACACTTCGATGCTCAATCGAGCCGGTGACCACTACCACAACCGGGAAGGTGTGATTGTGGTTTGTACCCCTCCTCTTGGTTGGTTTGGAATCAGGGTTTTTGGCCAACTTACCTAGGTGAACGATCAGTGGTTCACCAACCCGGATGTCAGCTTTTCGTCCCCTCAGTTTAGTGGGAAAACAACCCCGCCACGATACGGCAGTTAGTACGTCCTCACGTTGAAGGGCTCCAGATTCAAATGATGGTAACGCTTCAAAATTTGAAAATTAATTGGCGACTAACTACTAAAATCGCAAGTTGGCAACGACTTTTGACAATTCTCAAATAATTTGTCTGAAGGAATATTAAGGGTTCGAAAAAAGAGTAAATGGAGATCGTTGGATATAATGAGATAAAGAACAAAGCCAAGGTTGAGATGTATGAGCAGTGGTCCACTTATTAATGAACTAACATACTCCGTAGGAGGAACATAAATAACATCATCACTGCTTCCCATTGCTAAAACGTAACAGAGCCCGCTGGACACTGGCTCAGAAGGCAACAAATTTTTGTCTCTCCAAAACTAATCACATACAGATGATTATTCTTTGTCTTACCGCTATTTGATGACCTAGTTTTCTCAGATGATTAAAGTATCAAACATGAACGATACCGCCAAAACATTGAATACCTTACACCGATAATTCTTGTTTGTTTCTCACATCCAATGGTCAAGTAAAGTAATTCCTACCCCATTGTTGTTTAACCATTTGCAGTGAACATCAGTGCAACCTTGACCGAAAAAGTGGAAACAGAGAAGTAGAACAATGGTTGCCTAAGAGAGATGAAATAATCAACATGTACGCACAAAAGTATTTTCATCATATCCGCCCACAATAGTACCATGCATTCGTTTGCCACATTGTCCAAATTTCAATTGAGATGAAAAGACAAACAAAATCGATCACTGCAAGATCCAGCAAGTTGAAAACACACAACGAGGATGCGACACAAGGTGTGAGAGGGAATGATGACAGAAAAGTTTGCAAATTGAGGGGAGTGGGCGACCGAACGCACCTGTTCCACTTTACACAGCTTATTTGTGTGATTCTGATAGGTGTGCATACAATCCTCGGCCAGATGAAAGTGCGTTGAGTACATGGATAATTCCTTCTGATACTGGGGCATTTTCTTCAGCATTTGACTCAGATCCCGCATGGATGTTTTATCATTCACACCGACCATACGTTTCTCCTCGGCGAACTTCTTCAACTTGCTCGTGACCTGAAGACAAAGTGTCGGAATACGGACAGAGACCAAATCGGATGAAGGGATAGAACGTATTAACAAACACCAAGAAATGACGGATAGGTGACGAATAGAATGGCACAAACTCATCATGGCGATCACGTATACGTAATTACGTATCGAAATAGAGTCAACGAGCTTGGAATCAGGCGTACGATTTCAGTTAATGATCATGTTTACTTACCCCGGGTTTTGTTGTTTGTCGTGATCTGTGCACAGCCGCGTACAAGCTTGCTCGACGAATTATGCGTGTGGACAAGGGGTACCATGGCGAGATTTATAACAGCTTTTGCTGAGGTAGTGAGTGGTTATGTCGATCGTGATTGAGCAGATGAATTAGGCGGTTTTGTGGTGACATTAGCTATGAGACGAAAAACTGTGATCACTCTATACAATTGTGTCCAGCAAGCACCCACTTTTCAAACAAAAAGTGACGCCCATCATAGCTCGGTGACGGAATCAGATCAATTATGTCTTTGGTTATTTTTGATTACTGCTGTTCTACTCTAACGTAACTCAAAACCTTCATTTTTCTTAATTGTGTATGGATACCAGACTTATCTTTGATGGTCTATCGGGAAACTGAGAATAACGGTAAGTCACGTAGAATGCTAATTGGGCTTAGGATAGCAGAAGTAATGGCACAAGAGAAACGATGCACAACGCGTGATATGACCAAAAGAGCCTTATTAATTCTTAAACCAGAAGTTAAATGCGACATTCACGGTCGAGGTAAGTTACCAAAGATTTCGTACATCCCCCACACACACACGCTGAAAATCTGCTGACTCCAACATCTAATGCGGGAAAAACAGCTCATGAGTGAGCCATTGGGCATATATGTGGTTCAACGTTCCAAATTAAAAAAGCAGCCTGCCAGTTTTCACTACCGAGCAGTGGGTTCAAGCCATTCTAATTTTCGGAACACACGTTGTAGGCGAACATGTTTTCGGTGAGTTCTTTATCAAGCGAGTACAATCATATTTATGTGAGAAAATAACGGGAAGGTGTTGTGTTGGGGTCAAACAATCGAAGTCAAATAGTTATAGCAAAAGGGTGGGGTAGGGACACATTTGTCACTAGTTTTCATGTTCAGATAAGAACGGGTTACGTAGACGTTGATAATTGAATTGGGTTATCGCAACGTTCATGACCACAACAAAACACCTTCCCGTTATTTTCTCACATAAATATGATTGTACTGGTTTGATAAGGAACTCACCGAAAATATATGTTCTCCTAAAACCTGTGTTCTGATTATGACTATGGATTTACTCTGTGATTTAAAATCATTCTAATGTTGGCCACATGTGAGCGCAAACGATCGCACAAAGAGTTTGGAGAACGGAGAAAAGACGCGGAAAACTAAATTTTCCTATGCACTTGACATGAGAAAGGGCAAGGAAAGAAAAGTGAATAATCAACGAGATGATCAGATAGATGATTGTTCGACCAGCAATCCTGTTTGGGGAAATAATCCGCAAGTCCTGGATGTAGTGGAATGGACCACGACTACTGGTAGTTAATTAACTAGCCAGCATGATGCCCTTGTCAAAAACAGGTAAACAAGAAACACGACAAACACATAGATTTGTCGACGTACACATCATCTGGTCATTTCTAACCGGTGGTCCCCGTTCGGAATGAGCCGGAAAAGTTTGATTAAGTAATGTGGCGTGCACAAAACGGTGTTTCCTGAAAAAATCAGCTAAAAGGTCGGATACTATGGCAAATAATTAAGTGAGCGAATGAAAATCATTGTTCCGACCTTAACCTTGGACGTACTTTAGTTCGGGTAAATTGAGCACACGACAGGTTCGTAACATGCACTTGAGAAAAAAACGAAAATTCGCAGGGCTCTTAAACCGCGGAATATTTAACACTCCAATCTCTTTTGATAACCGGTTTGTCTGCAGGCAGCTTATGACTAAGTGTAGTGAATTTTCATTACTTCTACAAACCAAATGATGAGGACAAGGTATTATTCGTATCCGGGTTATTGTTGTTAGTATTATTTCACTGTCAAATTTTAAAGCATAGACGTTCCTTCCGTAGATCCACCATTTCTGTCTTCCTCGATCTGAAAGCGACTTTCGACTTAGTGGACCGCTCCATACTCTGCCGCTGCCTTTCCCTGAATGGTGCGTCCGAGAAGTTTATTTTAACACTATGATCTCCTTACACTAATAGCCGAAGCCGACACGGAGCTTACGGCACTTTCTCGTCCAAGTTCACCAAGGAAAGCGGTGTTCATCAGGGTTACCTTCTCCTTTTTCTTTTCTGTACAACTTTGCAAGGAGTCTGATTCTGGAAAAGGCCCTATCCTCGTGCGAGGATGACGGTATCCATCTGCTGCCGGGTGGGAGACTGTCTGAACTGGAGTATGCTGACAACATTGTACTGCTTAGTGAAGAGCCAGGTAAGTTGCAAGCTTTTCTAGATAGTTTGAGTGCTAGTGTAGCCATGATGGTATAAAAAATCCTCTTAAGGAGATTCGGTCATATAGGTTGCGTTAGGCTCCCTGGAACTGGTAGTTAGAGACACCGGGTGATATGTCCGTGCTGCGAACAGTGGCGCTCATGCACCTACTTATTACCCTGATGAACTTGCTCTTTGAGAATTCTCTACCTTCTCTTTGATTCTGCTCTCAACGTTCCAATCTTTCTTCTGCGGTTGTCCACTGCAGCCAGTCGACCTCCATAGATTACGTTGGTCAGGACATGTGTTACGCATGTCACCAGATAGGATGCCACGGCGAGCGATGTTCACCAAGGCAGGTAGTGAGTGGAAAAAGGTCAAGGGCGGTCAAACGAAGACCTGGCATGGGGGTATGAAAACCCTAACCGGGAGTTCGGATCACATAGGTCCCGTTAGGCTGGGGAACCCGAGATCATGGTCAACGATGGTTAGAGACACAGAGATATGGCTGGATCTCGCAAACCATTGTGCTCATGCATCTCATTATTCTTGCAACCTCAATCTGTATGAATTCTCTATCTTCCGCTTGAATTTCCTCTCAGCATTTCAATCTTCAATCTGCTCTTTTATCCAAATGGGCGGCCAAATGACAGCAACCAAAACCGCCGAATATAGGTGCTCTCTTGATGGTTGTAAAAAAATTGAACTGTCAGTAACAACATGCACCCGGAGGTCGGAATGTTTCGATACCAACCATGACTCGAAGTAAATACTTACAAACTGAGGTCTTTCGTGTCGCATAGTATATTTTCATGGCGAATTCGTTTCACAGTCAAAAGAGAAATGTCATATACCCCACCAGGTTTAAAAAATATCAGTGTAACTTTATTCCACTGTTATGAGCACCTTTATCAGTATTTAAATGAAAGGCGTGTTAATACTTTATTATGTCTCGGCCCGGAAGATTCAATGATTAGACTAAGGACGACGCGGGACGATGACGAGAGCCATGTGGAACACACTGACGGCCAAAGATCGACCCTGGGTAATAATGTTAACATTGGGTGTGGACATGGATGGCTAGGACTGTGTCGTAATTGGTAGCCAAAAGCGAGGTACTGAGTGGAATGAAACTAAATGAATTGCAGTCGCTCCACATAGACATTAGAGAAACTCGTTACTGAACCATCCCGATAAACACTGTGAAACCAAACGATAACGCTCATTCTGAAGATTATACATACATATGTCGCGTTCACCTTCACGCGTATGCTACAGATGACAGCTGCGGGTACTTGTTACAAGGCGATTAAAGCCACGTTTCAGGTAATCTCATGCGTACGCCCTACACTCACCTGCTGCGAGACAACAGCAATGTGTTGATGCCGTAGCTCGCACCACAGTTCGTCAGTTTCATCCAGAATGATCTCTTTAATTCGTTCCTCTGGTCCGGATGTGTTGATGTATCTGTCCGGGGAGACAAAGAGACGGACGTTAATCAATATGTAATTTATTAACGGAGCGTAGCAACGAAAAACAATAATGTGGAAAGGTAGAGTGACTACCGTCAGGATTTAATATATCTATTCCTTTCATTGCCTTTACCTCAAACACATCCCCAACCTTGGCAGTTCCTGCTTGGAGGTAGAACCCTCGCAACAGTTCCCTGCAATTTTGTGAACAGATATAAGAAAAACGAGATAAGAAGAGGAACAGACAACTCGCTGGCACGAATCGGAAATAAACATGGCACCAACGCGATAGTAATGGTAATACAGAATGAAATTGGAATACTCGTTAGACTGAAAATATATCCATCTCCATCTTACACACGGTAGGAGAATTTCCGATTTATCGGTTAATTCGATTACCTTGCAAGCATGTAGTAGATCGTGTGACAAGCAGTACGGTTCACAACCAATTTAAAATAGAATTTATCTTAAAACCCTGCCTAAAAATCCTAAAATGTGCAGACAAACCTTATTTGACCCTGCAAGCAAAATTGTCAAAACTGGTTGTATAATCATACGCATCAACGAACGCTAACCAATCATGAAAGTCATCCCCACTCATCCCCTTTTCTGATGTGATGTACAGTGAATCGGACTGGCGGAGAGTTAATCATACTCAGGATGCATGTGATATTCATGTAGTGATTTAATGGCCACCGGAAAAGGTATTGGTATTTATTGGCATTGGGTTGAAACTACGCACCCGAAAAACACGTGGAAGAAGAATCATGGGGTAGAGTACGCACGAAAACCACTCAAACTATGACCGCGATATTCTGCCAGTCCGCAATGCTGCAGTTGCTTTCGCGGAACTGGGCCATTAGTCTGATCATTTGGATCAATAAACCCGTGCAATTCCGAGATGGGACAGACACCCGGACAGACCGAAGCACAGGTGACGCACCTATGTATGTATGCTTGCGCGTGTGTGCACAGATGTGTGAACTTGAGTGAATTTTGCTCAGGTAGGAACGAGGGACGAGATAGCTTGACCGACGGATGGTGAATGCATGTGTAGACCAATGGATGACGGGCAATTCGATGGATGACCGGACAGACGGTCACGGAATAACCGTTCAATAGACAGACAGGTTTCATTTGGAAATGCAATCAGGACAGAGCTAAACAAACTGCGGATCGAGGAGCATCAGCGAGGATGAGCAGACGGACGGTCGCGCGCTCAATACCAGTATGCAACTGCACGATCTTAAAACCGAAAATAAAGCAAAATAAAAACGATGCGCGCATGAACGGTGAGGTGTACACACACATACATCCTAGTCTGCTTATGCACGATACTGGTGAGCTAATTAAGGAGCAACTTTGTGGTTATCACATGCCAGAGCGTGCGGCCCGTATGCATATGCATATACAGAAAGAGGGGGGAGACCAGTCCGAAAGTTTAGTGCACATGGGTGGGGTAAGGCATTCGTGGTAATACAACTTGTCTTGAGGATGGTGGGTGCTTGACATTTGAATGACGAACGGCTAATTTGCACTTCAGCTGTGCACTTATAAACCATTCTCCCATTGCAAACATCCAAAGATGTTCCTAGGCAAGATTCCGTCGGGCACCATCATTCGCCGTGGGGCGGCATCTGATTATGAATGGTCTAAGGCGCACTTTCGAGTGAGCAACGCTGAGTAAGTCAACCGAAAGTCCTCTGGGGAATTTTTCCAAGAACCGCGCAGAGGATATCCCGAAGGGCGATCAAAGAGCTTGTGAAACAGTGATATCAGGGCGTGATAAAACAGTTGCGTTTGCTGTTCAAAAAGAGTTACTTTGTGAGACAGATGTCTAAGTATCATAGTTTTAGTTCAGACTGATCCAGACAGTTAGAGTAGTATGATGAGAATTGGATTCGCACGATCGCATGTATTTAACAGCATATTCTCCTCCGAGACGCAAAAGTAACTTTCGTTGTGGTGTAAAATCAGGTATCTATTTATGAGGACAAGGACTCACCGGTAGACGTCATTTTCGATCGCTAACAAATCGTAAGCCATGGCCTGGAATGTGAGCTCGTGAAGAACCGGTGAGATCGGATCGAAACCTCGATCCAGTATGATCAGTTGACTTCTATCCTTCTGTGGACCCTGTAAGTACACGCAGAATGTCAAAGTCAATGAACTGAACAATACAAATAGATAAGTAGCATACACATGAAGCGTTGAGAGGGAGTTGTAGAACCGAGGTGCATAGAGATAGCTATTGGATTGGGTCTGCTAGATAAATGATGCGGGATTATTAATATTGTTGTTTCGGCATAGAGGATTTCGATAATCTTCAAGTTCGAAACATCAATACCGAAAGAAGACAAATGTCGCAAGGTGTTACCATTCCCTCTGATACGATTTACACAAGGTACTTATGACCAAGGTCTGTCGAATTCAGGATGGGTGTTTATCGTCTCTGAGCGTATATAAGCCATACGCAGTTGGTCAGCGGGATTTATGATTGAAGGAATAGCTACGTTATTAGGTCAGCAAGCACGCTAACGAATATTTCAAGCAGGGACGGGGGTAGATGTGATCATCGCGAAAACTGACTATGACAAGCACAACACGATACCATTTCAAAACTGCACGCGATGAGCAACTTGGGAGTGAATCAGGATGCACGACAAATGGTGATGTTACTTAATTTTCGTTGGAGATAGGTTGAATCTATGAACAAGCCTAAGAGTACAGTCCAAAGTGAAATCTTTAAAGACACTTAACCTTTTTCTTCAATTAGGCGGGTAGCTCGAAAATGGCGATGGTCGAAAATAGCGGTGAATTAGATTCCAGTAAATTACAGTACTCTGCAAGGACATTTATGGATTGGATTTCAGAAGCCGTTTGTCAGGTAAAAATCCACCATGTCATCAAACATCGTTGCCGATCATTCGAAACCGTTGCCCTGTTCATGTTTACTCGGTGTGATTGGAGGAAATCTCATGGTGGTCAATGTCTAGGATGTGGCGAAGTGGAACAAAAGATTAACAGAATCCCTAATCCGTCTCGATTTCCAGGTTTGGGTGCAAAGAGTCTAAATGAAAACCCTGAACGATATGGCTCGTTTAATCTTCTCCTGTTTATCTACATTCGAGAAAAAAGCTGAATAAACTCAAAATTCCAAGTGAAAAATAAAACAAAGAAATCTCCACTCTATTAATCAGGCAGTCCTCTGGTTCGTAACCTACCGTACCTTTTAAGATTG